GGTTTAGGGGTTTAGGGTTTGGAGTAAAGATGGGTTAATGGTTTAGGGTAAAGGGTTGAGCGTTTTTTGGTAGCAGCTCTAGCATCATGACCCATTAGACAGTCGCATCAGCAGCAGGAAAGAAAGAACGAAAAATGTGTGGCACCAACAGCAGCAGTAGCGGCAGTGGTGGTCGGCGCAAGTCTTGCAAACAGTAGCATCTGTCGACGTCGGCATCACAGCCGCAGCAGAAGCAAAGGCAGCAGTACTGAAACCTCATAATAAACTCTGAACACCATAAACCCCCGAAAATCTAAACCCTTGTGCGCAAACCTTCCGTCGAGCGCAGGGGCCGGAATACCTCGAGACTCAGAAGACGGTTTAGGGATAGTGGTTGGTACAAACACGTACAGCGACTGTAAGGGGATCCTCGTACTGACTATTCTAACCCCTCTGTGCAACTCTGCATCCCAAACCCAACTCTGAGCCCGAGTTGACTTCCCAGCAGGATCAGGCCAAACTCTAAACCCTAAAGCCGAAACCCGAAACCCTCAACCCGAAACCCTAAACCCGAATCCCTAAACTCTAAACCCTAAACCTTGGGCACCCTTTTTTAATTCCCAGCCGTCTCAAGGCCAAAGTTCCGAGTCTAAGAAGACAAGGTCTTGCAACTTGAAGGACTGCGGCTTCTCCTGTCTGGTGCTTAGTATGGGTTAGGGTTTAGGGTTTAGGGTTTAGGGTTTAGGGTTTAGGGTTTAGTGTTTAGGGTTTAGGGTTTAGGGCTTAGCAGCTGTCTGGTGCTTAGTAGGGAATGGGGGAATGGGTTATAGTCACTACTATGAGGGACCTTAAGGGACTATCATAGGGATCCATTCCCCCATTCCCTACTCAGCACCAGACAGTCTCCTCTCGGTCTTCTATCTTCCAACAGGGTTTAGGGTTTGTCGGTCCTGTTCGCCTTCTCTCTCTCTATCTTACATTAGGGTTTAGGGCTTTTTCGGTCCTCCTCGTCTTCTATCATCCTAAACCCTAAACCCTAAACCCTAAACCCTAAACCCTAAACCCTTCTATCTTCCATTAGGGCTTAGGACCTTGGTCCTCTTTGTCTTCTATCTTACGGGGTTTGTTTAGGGTTTTGGTGTGGCGACTTAACGGAGGGAGTCTTGGCATGGTGTTTGGGTTTAGGGTTTACGGTTTTAGGGTTTAGGGTTTAGGGCTGGGTGGACCGCCGCTTCTCTTGATTGGGTATTTAAGGCGTCGACTTGGGGCTTTAAGGCTTCATTCATGTACGGGCCGTACTAACGAATAGGACTTTGGGGCATACTATACTACAATTATAATAAGGAACCCCCAGAAATAGGTTTTTGGGGCATATTATACTACAATGAGAATAAGGAACCCCCAAAATAGTAGAGATAATTCTTCAGGCCCCTAAATTAGAGCTCAGGGTCTTCCCAGTTTGCGGTTCTACGGTTCGTTGCCATCGCGGTTTCAGGCTTTAGGGTTTGTAGGGCTTCGGGAGTCCAGGTTCAGAGCGCAGGAAATAGCCATCTGGGGCTCTTGGCTTGGTTTAGGGCTTCGGGTTTAGGGTTTAGGGTCTAGGGGTTCGGGTTTAGGGTTTAGGGTTTAGGGTTTGGGGTTTCGTTTAGGGGTTTAGAGCTCAAGACTTGTGAAAGCCCGGGTGCATCATGCAGGGCCTGAGCGACTACATACACACGTACCAGGGCGCTCATAAGAAGGGTACGTAAGGTCTTCTTTGGGAGCCCAGAAACGGCCCAATTTACGGCATGACGGGGCGTGTCAGTTGTTCCAAGCAGTTGTCCCCAGCAAGAGCCTTGACCATTGGCCCCTCCTTTAACACCGACTCCAAATAATATAGGGGCCTTAATAGCTAGAATAGGGTTTTGGGATTCGGATATATTTTACTATACTTGTAAGGAACCCTAGGAATAATGTTGGTACTTATTTAGGCTCCTATATTACCATCTTGCCTGGCACATGGTTCAAGCAAGGACCGGGGCTTCAGGCTAAGGGTTTGGGCTTCCGGGTTTGGGGTTTTGAAGTTTCAGTGTGGGAGTTTTTTGACTGCGGGGGGTGATTCCAGGGGTTTGCGGAGTCCTAAACCCTAAACCCTAAACCCTACATGACTACCTCTTAGCACAACCACCTTTCAACTTCTCTCAACTGGGGCTCCTTCTGCTGCAGCTCCTGAACAGACTCTTCCAATGATCTCTTGACTGTGGCCACCCACTCGTACCTGGGCGCTTTGGGTTTAGGGTTTAGGGTTTTGTGGTTTAGGGTTTAAGGGGCGCTTCGGGTTTAGGGTTCAGGGCTTGCGGTTTGG